ACAAACTGATAGACGGGTGGTGGTTTTGTGGCCTCAGGGTCTATATTTTTGGTAATGATTACATCTAGTAAGTTACCCAAGCTAGTAACCCTGATGTCATTTTTAATTCTCATGCTTCCCTCTCTTCCCATATGAGATTAAGCTGGTGGTTCTACTACTAAAATGTTACTCTAATCTGCCCTCTCCTTTCCATTCTCTCTGCCCCCAGTTCAGGCCCTCATCCATGTCTCCTAACTGAGTTCCTTGTGTTCAAACTCTCTTCTCCACTAATCCGCTATACTAATACTAGGGTTACCTAAGACACATTTGATCACATTAGTCTCCTTCCACAAAACTTCAGTGGTACCACACTGTCTCCACGATAAAGGCCAAACTCCTGAGCATAGTACACATGATCCTCCAAACTGCTCTGTTTCAAAATCCTACTCTTTCTTCATGAACCAGTGCAAGTACTCACTTCCAAGAAGCTTTGCAAGATCTCCTCTACTGGAGTTAAAAAAAATTATATCTTTCAGTGGACTCCCCTAGCATTTTGTTTCTATCTTTCATGATAGTTATATTTTGATTTGTGTTACTTATGATCATGGTCGCCTCTTGGACTAGAGTGTAAACTTACAGTGAGTAGGAGTTCACTCAAATGAGGGGCAAATACTTAGAATCATGTCTTAAACATTGTACTCTCCCCAACACCTATACTGTGTGTGTCACAAAACTTTGAATAGTAGACAAGAAGTAAAACGGGGTCTCTAAATATATGTGGTCACTAAATGAAGCTAGTCAGTTAATCTGCATCCTGTTATCAGAAAGTTTTTCTCTCCACCACTGATATTAAACTGCATGGGTTAAAATATTTTTACATTAAAACCAAATAAATATGCTAGAGGGCCAAAGCTGAACATGTAGGCAATTTTAGACTGGAGTAAGGGATACAGAACAGCTTAGAATCTAACAGAATAACGGAGGGTCATGGTTGGAGCTCTTTTAAGAAGGATGAGGTCAGAGGCTACCTTTTAAGTTCTATTCCTTCTCAAAATATTGTTTCTTAGGGTGCAGTCCTGAGCCCCTTCTCTGCTCACTTTAGCTTTCTCCCTAGGTAATCACATCTGTTCTCTGGTGTTCAATACTCACCTTTTTAGTGATGACTCCCACACTTTTAGATGTCCAGCCTCAACCTTTTCTCAGAGGTCCAGGATTGTGTATCTAAATCCTATGGATATCTCTTTAGTATCTCCAACTCAAGGGGACTAAGCCTGAATGCCTGATATTCTTCTAAAACAGGTTCCACTTCTACTTCTGCTCCTTTCTCTACCAGCCAGTTGCTTAAGCCAGAAACCTGGGAGGCATTCTTGACTCAACCCTTCTTCTCCACCTGACCTCAAGTGTTGTTGATTTTCCTAAAAACCACTGCCCAGGTCCTAGCCTAAGCCACCATTCTGGCTTATTTGGACAACAGAAATAACCTAGCTGGTAATCTTCCCTTTAGTTCCCCCCTCCATTCTCTACAATCAGCCAGTGTGCTCTTAAACAACAACAACAAAGATCAGGTTAGGCCCTTGTTTAGAAGCCTTCAAAGACCTCACATCCCCCTTAGAATGAAATCTAAATCCTTTACTCTGACCTCTGAATGATGGGCTTTTTCCTGCATCTCTCACTTCATCTTGTGCCTGCCTCATCCACCAGCAGCTCAGCAGGCCCTGATCACACTGTCTTCTTTCATTTCCTCCAACATGCTAGGATTTTTCCTGCCTCAAGGCCCTTGCACATAAAGTCATCTTTTACCGAATGATTACTGTATTACTATTAATAAACGATTTTTGAGAGACAGCTTAGTGTAATGGAAAGACCACTGGGCTGAGCATCAATAATCTTGGCATCAAGTCTTAGCTCTACCAATAATAAGCTGTGTGAGTAGACATGTTGTCTGACCTTAGGATCTTCATCTGTAAAAGATGGCAAACAAAATTGGCCCTTACCTGCCTCAAGGCTTGTTTGAAGGATTAAATAAGACGAAAAAGTAAAAACACTTTATAAACTATATATCACTACATACTGTGTAAATATTTAGTATGAAAATCTTCATTATTTTAAGCCATTGGCTTTTCCCTTCCATTAAAATAGGATGGCTGGGACTCAGTATTAAAGAAAAGCTTTGCAGGGGTCAGACAACTCAAAATTCAACTGATTCTAAAATGGGAAGTAAAAATTTTGATGTCACTGTCTGAGAAGCAGTGAAACTTGGCAGCATTCCACTTGCTTGGTTGTTCTGTTTAAAAGAAAAAACAGCCAAAAACAAATAAACAAAAAAAAAACAAGAGGGCAGTCAGTAGGGCTATAAAAATAATATATTGGCAAACTGATTTCTCCACAGCACACGTTCAATGTCCTGGAATCCCAGGTTGTGTTCTTGGACTCATTTCCCAAGTTCACTTGTGGAAGGTAAACAGCACCCTGGAGGGTAAAATGAAGCTTGCAGTCAAATCACTGTTCCTTCCGACACATTATTAATTTTGCTTTATGCTGAAGTTGTTTGCACAGTCATACCAATTCTTCCACCCAAGTTTCTCCATCGAACTGTGTAGCATGTGAGCAAAGGCCCTAACAACTTCTTTACAGAATGGATCATCATTTTAAAGCCTTTAGTATATTTAGTGATGATGTCATTTTTATATTAATGCACTCTTAAGGACCCTGAAAACATAGCACCATCGTTTAGTTTTTAGTCATTTATTCACAGATACTAGGAATTGTTGCTCTAGAAAAATGGCTCAGCTGGTATAGATGACTCAAAGTCAATGATTGAACAAGTTGCTGAGCTTTCAGGGGCTACTAAAGCTGACTGAATTCTTTAATTTCACTTCATTCCTCACTTAAAATTGGTTAAGTAGACTAACTCAAGACAGCAAACTCATGCTTCATGTTCTATTAATCTGCTATACATGCAAGTTTTCACCAGGTTAAGCAATAAGGACATGCATCAAAGGTGGGCTCATTTTAGATATTGCTACACTGTTACCCTTAATTTTCTCATCACTCACCCTTCTCATCCAATTAACAAGTTGTGTCAGTATCTCTTGATTCAGCCTACCTCTCATCATCTTTACTGCCAAAGCCAGCGTCTACAATAGTCTCTTAAAAGGTTTTATGCTCATCCATTCTTGCCCCCTCCAATTCATTCTCTACTCTGCAGTTATAGTGAGTGATGCAGAACATAAGCTGGATCATGTCCACCCTTGCCTAGAAACCTTCAGTGGTTTCCCACTGCTTTTAGGGTAAAGACCGAGAAACCTTACAGAGAAGATCATGAGATTTGAAGGTTCTGATCCTTCTTACCTCTCCAGACACACTGGCAAAACTGTCTAGCCAGCCACACTGAACTATTCTCATAGTTCCTCCTCTCCTGTTTCTTCCCACTTCATGGCCTTTGCACAAGGCTATTGCCTGTGCCTAGAAGGCTCCTACCTCAAACAGCATCAAACGCCTCACCCCTAACCTACCTGATTTCTATTCATCCTTTAAAACCGGGCTCAAACATCACTTCCTCAAGGAAGTGTCACCTCCAACCCAAGTCAAATCTCTGTTTAACATGGTTGAGAGTGTGGGTTCTGGAGGCAGCCTGTTCGAGTTTGTATCCTACTTCTGCCACTTTTTTTTTTTTTTTTAATCTATATGACCTTGGTTAATTTACTTTAATGTTTGGAACCTGTTTTTTTGTCTGTTACATAGGGATTATAAGGGTACCTATCCAAGAGGGTTGATTGTGAGAATTAAAGAGCACACAGAAAAACACTTGGAAGAATATACATGGTAAATATTATTATTTCCAGGACACTCTGTAATTCTTAGTAGTGTTCTCAATGCCATTAAATATCGATGGTTGGTTGTGATTGGTTACTATTATCTCCAAAACATAAACTTAGTGAGGGCAAGTACAATGCTTGTATTGTTTACTAATGAATTCCCAGTGCCTAAACACAGCCTCACAGAGAGGAGACGAAATAAATCTTTGACTGAATAAATAAATGAGCGATAAGGTTTTATATAGGTGGATTAAGAATTTTTCTGGGCCTTAGTTACTTCACATATAAAATTAGGGGCAATGAGACTAGATGATTTCTCAATTCCTTACCTCAGCATTCCAAATACCAGGATTCTGGTAACTGGATAACAGCATATGTGTCAAAGTAAAAACTGAAATCTGTTTGTTACTCTGACCAATGGGGCTAAGATTATTGGTGACCAGCCCTAAAGAAATGACCCTAATTTATGTTACAGACATGTGTAATACTTTTCAAAACTCTGCTTTCTCATTCCAAACGGCCTTTCTAATTTTACCTATGCAGAAAGAAATAGGACAAAGTAAAATCTAGAAAAAAATGCTAAAGAAAAATATCCTAATCTATAAAGAAAATTCCAGACAACTTTAAACAAAGCTCCCTAAACATTTAACAGCAACAACAAAATAGTACCATTAATCTCCTATTTAATCTCCTTTGGTTAATATAAAAAATATAAAATGGTATATGGGAATTTCAGTGATTTAGTTTAAACTTGGCAACCACTGTATTTCAACTGAAATCACATTCTCAAATGCTTTTCTGCTAAAATGTGAAAGTCTGGATCAATATCTCAGAGTCCATATGTAGGATTATTTGTTGCCAAATAGCCTTTCTGTAAGACTGTACAAGGCTACTGCGTTTCATAACGAGCCTTGGCTTAGAGGAGATTCAAAAATCACTATTTACTCGTGCTTTTGCAAACACCATTTACATTTAAATTCCTGACTAATTTGTGAGGAGGAAGTTTATGGACTGTGAACTAGAGTCAAGTTTTAGTGCATACATAAACATAAAAAGAGCTCTAACAAGTTCATATTGAATTTTCAAAGCTGGAATTCAGTGAAATGAGAGGATGGGAAGTGCTGAATCACATGTTTAGTGGTAACTCAGAAGTTTCACACTAATTTAAGTCCTAGTGTTGTTGATATGAACACACTTAATCACCTTGACTGACTGTTCACTGTTATGAGTGGCTCTTCTTTTCCACATGCCGGATTTCTTTCTTCATCTTCATCTTATAACCTTCTCCCTGCTTTAAAAGGAATGAACACATTAAGATTTCATGGAGAAGAGTTTTAGTTATAAAGCAGTTCCCACTCTGGTCCCTTGAGGCTGGATTAGGATAAGTGAAAAGTAGTTTAAAGCAGATTGTCACTTCATGTTCAAAATTATGCACAATCTATTTGGCTTAGCCACACAGCTTAGCATCATCAAGGCAAGCTAGAGAGCACTGTCAAAATGAACACAACTATTCACAAAAATTCAGCCGGTTAGTAATAAATAAATAAAAAGAGCAGTCTGTCCATTTGCTATAGTAAACTAGAAAAAAGCAGTAAAGCTCTCAAGACACCTAAACCCCAGTTTTTAAAAAAGCAGGCCTCCATTTCCTACAACACAAGACCTCTGTCCACTGAGAGTCAGGGACACATTTCCCTGAGACGAAAGCTGTTGCAAAAATATTCAGTTTTACCCTATCATAACGGAAAACTGTAACCTTCCCAATTTTCTGATTTAGTCCTTGTGAGAAGTTTTCAGTTCACTTTTTCCCTTACGTATAAATAAGCTATTGACGTTTCTATTTTCTATTTTTAAATATAAAAGAGTAAACATTTTGAGAAAAAGGAAAGAAATGAAAAAAATAACCAGAGATGTGAATTCATTTTCTAAGTTAAACTACTCAGTGATGAGTTTAGTTCTTTAACCAGCACAGGGGAAATGGGCTGTTACAAACTCACTATAGGAAATTGTTATAAAACAAACAGGGAAACACTTCTTAGGTTAAGATGGGGGAATTCAGATTCCCCTGCAGAATATGTTGGAGGGGAAAATGTATAGATTCGATGTTAGGATCTTGGACTGCAGTTTTTACCATCCTCACATTTAAGCCCATGTATTTGCTCTAAAGGAATGCTCTGCATTAGCGTTGAGAGCTGGCACTCAGCTGAGGACAAGGCACTGGGTGGGGAACGGGTGCTACCAAAGGGTTTATTTGGTGGTAGAGGGTCTTAATTTTTTCTCTCTAGAACTGGGACATTCTGTCCCTTATAAATGAACTTATCTCTGTGAAAACTCTGAAGACATATTTAGAAATCACAGTAAAGAATGTCAAGCAGAAAAGTCTTTTTCTTTGACCCTCATCAAATGCACAACACATCAAAGCAGCAAACATGTCAGGCTGCCACGCCACAGAGGCCAGCCTGTCAGCAGCGTTTTCTAGGGAGTTCACAAAGCTTTTATCCTCTACTTTTTCCTTGGCAATCCCTCTCCATTACCACGTCATCACGTTCTCTCTCTTGTGGGATAACAATTCGTCTTATTACTTTCCGAGTGATCTGTAGGAAGCAACGGTGAAAAGTAGAGATTTGTCTTTTTTCAGTTTCAAAAGGTGGTATTACAGCAAACAATCGGCAGTTTTTTAAATGCAGAAAATCTAAATTCCAAGAGAAGCACGAAATCTCAGTGATTATTACTTTTCTGGTGATGAGGTTGCCTTCTTCAACAGTAAATTGTTCTTCTGTGACAGATTCACCAGGAATGCTTTTTGCTTCCTTTCCCTAAAGGATGTGGCATAGAGATTAGCAATGTACTAGATGGGCAGATCTCCACACCACTCCATACACCACACACATGCTCTGTGGAATTTTAGAAAAAGAAGTAAATTCTACTTGCTACTTCAGTGCAAGGGGAAAAAATGGACTCCACTGGTAGTTATTTAGCAGTTAACAACATTCAAAGCATTAAACTTTAAGAATGTACAAGACGATTAGCAAGAAGTTCTAAGAAGGAAGGATTTGAAGATGTGTAATTATAGAATGCAGTTATACACTGACATGCAAACCAACAGGTTTCACTTGTGTGAGAAAACGTTTTAGCTGAAGCTTAGTTCTTTAATTAGATCATCTCATGCTGAACACAAAGTATGTCTTCATTAAAAAATAAAAAACCAAACCCCTCACCATCAAGTCAATTCTGACTCATAACGACCCTACAGGACAGGGTAGAACTGCCCCATAGGGTCTCCAAGGAGCAGCTGGTGGATTTAAACTGCTGACTGTTTGGTTAGCAGCCAAACGCTTAACCACTGTACCACCAGGGCCCCCAAATCTCTAGAGGAAGATTTTGGTGGGTTGAGTTTTGTCTGGTTTGAATGAAGATAGTACCTTAGTTGGGGCATTCTATTTATTGCCCTTTGTTGGTTTGCTTCTTTTAAATTTCGTTTACTAAGGGTAATATATAGTTTTTCGAGGGCTGTGAGAAAAGTTCAGGGTAAAAAGGAAATCTTACTTTTTCCAAGCCTTTGCAGATGTACAATAAATGAGAGTAACTATGTCTGATGAAGAATTCTACCTTCAAGTGAAGGTGTTTCTGTGATGACTGATTATCTAATCTCTACTGCCAGAGGAAAAAAAAGTCAGTGCCTAAGTAATTCAAGATTGTTATCTTTCAGTTACTGATTCTTATCTGTCAAAGGTCTTCCTTTAAACACTCCTTTGAAGGTATGTTTGAAAACTGGCATAAATTCTTAACTCTCCAGGGTGGCTTCATATTTTTTCTGCTTATAGTCTATTTGATGGATTTAGATGGTTCCTTAATACCTCTCAACCAGCTCTGATTATATAACGAGAAAAAGTAGGGCTGTATCTACAAGATATTAGCTTCTTCATTAGTGTTCAACTTCAGTTTTCTGCCACTTATAATTTGGGGGAACAAGGACAAATATGTTAAATTCAGAATAGTATTCCAGGGACCTATTAACCTGTTAGTCAAATTTTTTGTTGAAAAAGTGACCTGGATAATGCTATATAGTACACCTGTGGTTTTTCTAGGAAAAACGGCAGATCACAAAGAAGACAGCTGCATTTCTGGGAGAGCTAGGATTTCTAACTCATTAAATGTTATTGACATGGAAAAGGTAGTGCCTCTGATAATTTTGTCAATGCTAGCCAATGATGGGGACCTTGGTGGTGAAGGGGTTTAAGCGTTTGGCTGTTAACCAAAAAGTCAGCAGTTCAAATCCACCAGCCGCTCCTTGGAAATCCTATGGGGGCAGGTCTACTCTGTCCTATAGGGTTGCTATGAGTTGGAATCAACTCCACAGCAACAGGTATGGTTTGGTTTAGCCAACGATGAGAAAATTCTGTGAGTGCCTTTGTCACAACCAGTAGAAAGGCAGTTCTTGTTTACAATGACAGCGACCCTATAGGACAGAGTAAAACTGCCCCCACAGGGTTTCCAAGGAGTGGCTGGTGGATTTGAACTGCCAACCTTTTGGTTAGCAGCCAAGCTCTTAACCACTGTGCCACCAGGGCTCTGCATTTTACAAAGTGACTTTGTGTTCTTATATATTATGGGCTCATGACAATGGGTAGGACATATGACTTATTTCCCCTCACTCTGGTAAAGGTTGGACCAAGATAAAGCAAGATTTGTCTTGCTGCTCATGTTTAGTTCACCGCGAATCTTGCTTATGACTAATTCAATTAGTACAAGTAAGAGAGAGAAGGAAACTGGAAAAATGTAGATGTCTCATATCTAAATGCACTAAAATTTGCAACATGTTTTTATGGGGGTCTTATTTATATTTCCTATGTTTGGTTTTATGTATTTAGGAAATAACCATAATTTTATTTTAAAAGTAAAGGTATAAAGATGACAGAAAAGCCAGTGAAAGGTTATGGGAGGTTTTACTACATCCTAAACATGAATGAGGAAACATATTTGAGCCATTTCTTGGGCATGTCCAGCTCTCTGAGTGGTAGACAATTCAAGAGTCCCAGGAAAATCCAGCTAAATAGAATCCTATTGGATATAGTCATAAATGGATCCTTTTGTGGGGAAGGATGACAGTTTTTAAATTGTTTAGACAGTCTCTGAAAGAAATATGATATAAGTATATTCATAAGCAGAGTGAATATATACAAGTAGATTGATTTATATTAATAGCCTAAAAAAGCAAAGCCCTACTTATAAATAATAAGCCATATAAGTTTGCTGAGAATTATTCTGGTACATAGGTATTTTCATACAGACTGATTGCATATAATTCAAGGTAAAGATCCATGTCTTTATCTTAAATGATTATTAAATGTAGCCAATTATTGCTTTAGTTAAGGCCAAAACAAATGGATTATGTAGAAACTCACTAAATTGGGAGAGTGGATTAGACAGGAGTTCACTGAAAGAGTAAATTCATAGAATGTTTTTAACAAATTCATACACCTTTAATGGTCACATATATTAGAGTAATAAACTAGAGCAAGTGTTACCAAGGAGAGGTCTCTGGGGCCTCTCTTTGATGAGAGAGAATAAATCTCCAGTTTCTAAAGTTCTTGAAAACAGTTTGTACTTTCAAGTAAACAAAATTTCCACCCTTGGTCTTTCTGACACCAATTTTTGGCAACCTACTTGCCCTTTTTTTCCTATCTCAAAGGAAAATTACAGCACATATGGTATCACATTATCATCCCTGGTGGCACCTTAATGAAGACTAACTGTACTTCCCTTTGGACCCCTGCTGGAAGCATTATGTTTTATAATTTTTATTCCTCTCTCCTTGTATTTTTGAATAAAATAAAGTAACAACATGAAATGTACCAATTTGCTTTGATGTACACAACATTAAAACTGGAGCTTTCCAAATAAGAGATGGATGTGCATGTGAATATGCACACACACGCACATCCATACATATACATACATGTTGTTGGGTGCCTTCGAGTTGATTCTGACTCAGAGCAACCCTAATGACAGAGTAGAACTGCCCCATGGGGTTTCCTGGGCTGTAATCTTCACTGAAGCAGATCACCAGGTCTTTTCTCCCACGGAGCTGCCGGTGGGTTTCAACCGCCAACCTTTCAGTTAATAGCCATGTGCTTAACCATAGTGCCACCAGGGTTCACATACATACACACACCAGTTGCCATCAAGCTGAATCCAATTCATGGTGACCCCAGGTATGTCACCATGGAACTGTGCTTCATAGGGTTTTCAAGGCTGGCTTTTCAGAAGTATATTGCCAACCTTTCATCCAAG